TGGGTGCAGGCCGCTGCGTTGCGGGGCTTGCGGTGGGAGCGGGAACCCGAGCCGGCAGCGGGCGACAGGCGGGCCTGGGCTCCCGAGCGGGCCCCTCGGTCCAGCTTTCCGCCCCCTGCGCGGTCCCCCAGGCCGGTGGGCCCCCGCGGAGTTGTGAGGGGGCCGCCCTCTTTCCCCGTCCTGTCTCCGGGCGCGTGAGCCCCCCCTTCCCCCTGGTCTCTGATGCTGTGCCCCCTTCTCCCGAGGCCCCTTTCCGTTGGTCCGTCTGTCTCAGGACCTCCCTTCCGTCTGGGTGTATGTCTGCCCCAACTGGCTTCCTCCCATTGGCCTCGGGTCGACCCCTCCACCCCGCTCTGTCTGGCAGTGCAAGGCCCAGCCCCCAAGCTTCCCTCCGGTCTCTTTTTCTGTCTCTGGGCCCCCGATCCCCTTTGTCTATAGACCCCCCCATTTCCTCTATCCCTCTTTAGACCCCCTTCCTTCTGTTCCTCTCTGGACCCCCTGCGCCAGGTGGGTCCTTCCTGCCTGTTGGCAGCGACTTCCACTGCCCAACTCCTCGCAGTTCCTCCGGTCCTGTCGCTGCCCTGGCAAAAGGACACTCAGTCCTCTGCCTTCGGGTCATCTAACCAGCCTCCCCCACCCCTCCTGCCTGCCAGTGATTCCTGCCCCCCACCCCAGGCTCAGGGTCAGTCCTTGACTTGGAGGCTCCCTCTACCCAAGTCCACCACCCTGGTTTGCTTCCTCCCTGCTGTCCCTCCAGTGCCCCCCTCCCCCTTTCAGCCTGCCCCTCGACAACCCCCCTCACATCCCCCTTTCTCTCTTCCTCCAGCCACGGTGACTGGTCTCCTCCCAGGCCTCTAGGAAGAACAGAGGACTCGGGGACCAACTAGCACCTTTTGGGGCACTCGAGCCCCAGCCACCTGCCAGACTTGCCTCATCCTGCCCCACGCCAGGCCCCGCTGCCCGCCGCCGCATCAGTGGAGCAGGTGGTGGAGGAGGGTGGCAACATGGGCCTGGGCCGTGCCCTCCATGCCCTGGGGATGAAGACGCTGCTGCCATGGACAGCCCATGCCAGCCTCAGCCCCTGAGTCAGGCTCACCCGCCATTGCCAGGGTCTGTGTCAGAGCCCACCGAGGCTGGCCGGGCCAGGATGGGGGTGGAGAGCTACCTGCCCTGTCCCCTGCTGCCCTCCTACCACTGCCCAGAAGCACCGGGAGAGGCCTCAGCCGGCAATGGGGCCTCCCGAACTGCTGCCGCCGCCACTACCAGCCCTCTGGGAGAGGGCTTCGGCGGTCAGGATGGTGGTGAGCTGCGGGCGCTGCGGAGTGAGGGCGCCGCAGCTCTGGTCACTAAGGGGTGCCAGCGACTGGCATCTCAGGGTGCCCGGCCTGAGGCCCCAAAGCGGAAATGGGCAGAGGATGGTGGAGATGCCCCTGCCCCCAGCAAGCGGCCCTGGGCCAGGCAGGAGCACCGGGAGGCAGCGGAGGAAGAGGAGGAGGAGGAAGAGGAGGAGGAGGAGGAAGGTGGCCGGGCCTGTGGCAGTGGCAATGGGGAGGCGAGAGCCAGGCTGAAAGAGGAAGCGCTGCCCACCACCCTGGAGCGCCTGGCCCTGGACTACATCGTGCCCTGCATGCGGTACTACGGCATCTGCGTCAAGGACAGCTTCCTGGGAGCGGCGCTCTGTGGCCGCGTGCTGGCCGAGGTGGAGACCCTGAAGCGGGATGGGCGCCTGTGTGATGGGCAGCTGGTGAGCCAGCGTGCCATCCCGCCGCGCAGCATCCGCGGGGACCAGATCGCCTGGGTGGAAGGCCATGAGCCAGGCTGCCAGAGCATCGGGGCCCTCATGGCGCACGTGGACACGGTGATTCGGCACTGCGCTGGGCGGCTGGGGGGCTACGTCATCAATGGGCGGACCAAGGTGAGGCTGGGGGGCACTGCAATGGGCACGTGGGGGAGACGTCAGGTCGGTCGAAGGGTTCGGAGCACTTGGTGGGTGGGGCGGTGTTAGGACTCGAGGCGCTGTGTGCACCACCAGCCCTCAGTTTCCACGTCTGGGAGACCCCTAGAGTCAGTGGCCTGAAGAGGAACCTGGTGTGTGGGTGTGTGGCCCAGGGTGGGGTCTGTGGCCTTCAATCAACCACACTCCATACAGACAGACACGTGTTTCTGTCCCTGTCTGCGTACCTGGCATGTCTGTCCCTACCTTCCTCCTTTCTTTCCCATGCCCCACCCGCCCTCCTCCATCCAGCCTGTCTGCTGGCCAGCCGAGAGCCCACCCTGTCCCTCTGCCTGTCTTCAGTTGGTCCAGGCATTCCTCTGTCTCCCTGTCCCCGGGCGGGTGGCAGGGCCTGCAGCAGTGGTGTGGTGAGTGCTGGCTCCGGGAGGCTGCCCTCTGCGCCCGAGCTGGGGACCACATGCCTGTATCAGGGACAGCTGCTTGGGGGTGGTCCTGGGCAGCCCCCATCTCTTCTGCTCCCCCTGTTCCAGGTTTGCCTCGTCCCTCTGTCGTTCCCCATCCTTGTCTGTTGGGTTTGTTCTCTTGACCCTTGGCCCTCCATGTCTTTGCTGCTGGCCCCCTTTTCCTTTCCTGGGGTTTGAACTCGTAGTTCTCGGTCGGTTGGGGGAAGCCCAGGCCCTAGGAGAATCCCTCATCCCTAGTGAGGTTAACAGGCAGTTTGCCGGGGCCAGCTGTTGGGTGCCAGCTGGGACCGGGAGCCCCGCAGCAGGTGGGGGGCTCTCTGCCCTGCTGATGCGGTCATGCCCCCTGGAAGGGTGGGCCCCAGCTTGGCGCTCTTGGGAAGAGGCCTCACGGGCAAGCCCACCGTGGAGTCCGTGCAGCCAGGCCTGGCCCATGTCCCCTGTGCGTCGGCACCATCTCGGGTTCTGCTGCTGTGCAGGTCAGCGCCGGCTCCCCTGGGGTGAGGCCTGTTTCCTCCCCACCCCAGCTGGAA